AAAAAAAAAAAAAGCGGCGGCAGGGAGAAGACTGGCTGTGGTTGAGGCCTCGTGCATGACACGTTTCGGTGCTGTCAGTGCGTTGTGTCGCCACATTATCAACATTGCTGCTGCAACACTTATCTCGGTACAGTCGTGAGATTTGTTCTGCGGTCTGTCCAGGTTGTAATAGTTGGTGGGGTTTACTTGACTAAGCCACGACATGATCACGAAGCATATATCATAGTGAGGGACCCCGGATTAATTTCAACCATCTGGGGTTTTTGTAATGGCCTCCGAATTCTAAGCTCCCGGGTGTTCATAGCATTTTGCCGCTATCGAAGTGCGAGCGCCGTGACCAGGAATCGAACCTGTGCCCTCGAACGTAGCAACGTGTCAATACGTGTAAAAGTTGCCAGGATGGGTTCGATCTAGTTAGACACGAGTCGTGACGTCATTAAGCTTTGGCGTGGTATACTGTTGGGCGTTGTGGTCATTGGTCTTTTTGCTTTTGTAATTCTAATTTCTGCGGCTGAATGAGCTGCCATTAGAGCGTTTTTGAATAGGGTCCCCAAAAGCTTGGGCCCCCAAATCCCTTTTGTGCACGCACGCTTTGGGCTCACGTAGGAGCGAAGAGTTTTCGAATAGGGTCTGCGGCGCTTTGGACACTCCCGCTGTTCTAGGTCACTCTATACGCGTTTTCAAGTTTTCACGACAGGGGGCCGCCATATTGAAATGCGCGCCGTCTAACGGCCAAGTGTGGCGAAATCGCCATCTAGGGCTGCGCGTACTCGAACTGGCCCGTTATTTGTTGGTGTGAGATCCCAGCTAAAACCCGTGTTCGCCAATTCGCTTGCTTAAACTGTTGTATGCGATATTGTCGCACCCACTGACCGATCAGCTGTGCAAGAATGAGCTCCGCTTCGGCGAACGATGGTGCTTCGTCGTCGGTGCTATGTATAGCAGCAAGCGCAGTACCTTCAGCGATTTACGCACAGACGGAATCATACTTACCTAAAGCAGCGAAGTGTGTGGCTGTGGACGCTGTTGTCCGTAGCTGCTACTTTACATTAGCTACAGCTCATGCCTGAATTATAGGGAATGAGCCGCAGGGAATGGGCCGCACTCGGGTGATGCGAATTCGTGACGCGCTCGATTCGACAGGGGCATGACGGCGCTGAAATGTACGCGGCTCTCTTCGAAGACCGCGCAGAGCAGCGTGTAAAAGCTCCTTTCGCAGAAATTTCGCTGTAGCGTCGTTGGTAGAGCGCGAAAATTCAGCGTTGTCCGCGAACGAGAACACAGGGTAGATGTAAATAAATAAAAAAATAAATGAAGAATATAAGTCCTCGCGGGGATCGAACCAACGCGTTGTGCGTGGCAAGAAGGTGTTGTGTTACGCGCACAAGCGTTCTTAAGACTTAAGCGTTCTTAAGACTTAAGCGTTCTTAAGACTTAAGCGTTCTTAAGACTTAAGCAGAAACCTTAAGACTTACAAGGAGGTTTCAGGTTAAATTGAGGACGACGCAGCGGGCAGTGGGAAGGTAAATGGTAGGTGTAACCTTATGAGGTAGTTGTAACCGTAAGAGTGATTAAGGATATCACAGCTGAAATCAAGAAGAGGAAATGGACATGAGCCGGGCATGAAGCGCGTAGACAGGATAACCGTTGGTCATTAAGGGTAACTAACTGGATTCCCAGAGAAGGCAAGAGGGTTAGGGGGAGACAGATGATTAGGTGGGCAGATGAGATTAAGAAGTTTGCGGGTATAAATTGGCAGCAGCAAGCACAGGACCGGGTTAACTGGCGGAACATGGGAGAGGCCTTTGTCCTGCAGTGGACGTAGTTAGTCAGGCTGAGGATATATATATATATATCCTCAGCCTGACTAACTACGTCCACTGCAGGACAAAGGCCTCTCCCATGTTCCGATATATACATATATCCCATATATATATATATATAATGTGTGTGGCGAGTGTACTTGCGCAATTGGGGCGAGTAAGTGCTAAGAAGTAAGCATGAAAGTAGCCCTAAAGCGCAAATTAGATTAGGGTGAGATGAAAATATTGAGGGTATACGTAAATTTAGATGTTCATTAATATTACTCCGAGTTGGTGAAAATTAATAATCCGCCGTTCTACGCTACGGTGTGCGTTTCATATAATCTGCGTTACAAGGAAAGGGTGGTGCGCTGCCATTTGAGGCGCCAGGAGGTTGTCTGAGAACCAAGAATAATGAAAACAAAACTTGAGAGAGCGAATATTCGTCGCGGTGTGATGTATGTGCCTGCCGCAGGACTATAGCCCGGAAAAGACTAAGTACTCACTGAAATGAAATGCCTGGATGTTCGCCCAGTAAGACCTATTTACCTTTCAGAGGGACTAGGATTCAAGGTGGGGTGTAGTATTTAATCGTAATTTGATCAGACGAGGAAGGGATATTTAGTGCAGTGCTAAGGGGAAAAAAAGGCGCGAGATATTAGTGGATTCTCTACAGGCGTAAATAAAACCCGACAGGTGTATGAGTCAACAAATGAAATATCTGAATAACCGAAATGCTGTGGAATGTGTGATAGGTATAATAAAGCGTTATTCAATTGGGGAGGCTAGGCGAACATTTTCTGCCGCCCGTTACACAAGGGATCCCATGAAGATTTTTGTCACCGTCTATACTGAGATTGTGTGTACGCGATGAGAACTTGTATCCGATACGGTCGAGTATGGAGTGGGAATGGTCTCCTTTCCGAAGCATCGCTTTGGACGCCGTTCACGTGTCCCGCTCCACAGCGAACCCGAACGATTGTGAAACCACGAAGCGCGTGGGCTTTTTGCTCGCATAATTGTCTCACAAAAATATTCCGGCGAAAGGCGTTATTGGGAAGGCAAGAAAGTGCGTGCGCGAACCAAATAAGATCACAACCGTCATGTCGTCTCGCAGAATAGCACTGTATTCCGTGAGATGTAAGGAAGTTGACTAACACTCATAGCGTTCCGCCGTACTTTGCGCTGCTGGGCTCGAGGCTGCTTCCGCTGCATTCTGTTGGTGGGCCAAAATGAAGGAACGCTCTCTCACTTTGATTAAATGCACGTTAAAGATCGGCCACAGCCGTCGTTAGCAGTAATACGATGGTACCCCGGTGAGGCTTGCCTCGTGATGAGATCGTGGTTTCGGGACACGCAAAAAAGCGCAATTAAAAATATAGCGAAGTAGAAATAATGGTTCTACGATATAAACGACAGAAGCGGGGGTCGAGAACCCGAGTCGGGGCAGGGAGATTCTGGCGCGCGAGAAACGCCAGCTGCTGACACTCCCGGTTCGAGCGATCGTTTTCCGCCCGGCATGCCGCCACACTCTGTCCCTCCTCGCGCACTCCAGAGTTCGGCTTGCAGGCATCCGGACGTTCGGCCGATCGTTTCCATCGACCGTTTTGCTCTGCATGTCCCACGCAGTCTGCTGCCCACGAGGCGTCCCATCTTTGTCTCGCCGGGGTATAGCGTTCAGTACTGCGGTCGCGCAGGCACTCGATGTGTCGGCCACGTCACACTGCTATGCACGCGCCGTCGGGAAGAGTTGACGTCCTGGACCACGCTTTCAGCACCCGAACGACCGTCGGTTCACGTAGGGATCGCGGCTCGATTTGCGGGCGTATTTATTGGTTTTATGCGAAGCACTTCATAGCGGGTCTCTCGTTCCTTTTTGTCCGCTGTGTCTGCTGGTCCGTTGTTGCTGTTGTACTTCAATTTTTATTTCATCCTAGACTCCCTGCTCTGTCAGTCGGCTTTTATTCTTGATATCGGCCACGCGACGCGATTGATAAAGAAATACAACAATGTACTCCAAGGACAAACACTTACGAAACGTGACCTTAGGAGAAGTTATATGCGCAGAAGATGGCTTCGAGGCAGGATTATGTAAGAACGGAAGAGGACCCCGTCTCTCTGTTTAAGAGATTGATGGATGGGGTACAGCGATCCTGCAGAAACCTGTGAAGTAGAAGGACGCCGGTGTGAAGGGCGTCCGATTAATTGGACGCTGCTTGGGCTTCCCTCCTTTGAATGCGACACATTTTTAGCGAACTTCGGTGAGATTGAATATCTATCTATCTATCTATCTATCTATCTATCTATCTATCTATCTATCTATCTATCTATCTATCTATCTATCTATCTATCTATCTATCTATCTATCTATCTATCTATCTATCTATCTATATCTATCTATCTATCTATCTATCTATATATCTATCTATATATCTATCTATATATCTATCTATATATCTATATATCTATATATCTATATATATATATATATATATATATATATATATATATATATATATATATATATATATATCTCTTCATTCATTCATTCAAGTTGCCGAAGCTCACCGAGAAATTCTTCGCATTTAAAAAGTAGTCATTCTCATCGTTGCGTTTTCAAGCAATTCGATATTTGCACGCATAGCATACGCGACGTTCGCTCGCTTTTCGTCGTCTGCTACGAGGAGCGTGTTGCTGCAGTGGCGCCACGTGGACCGGAAGTATTTCGCTGCTTTCAGTGTATGCGACTGAGATGGGTAACGCAGTCACCTGCTCTTACTACATTCCGCTCTGCCCGCCAATCTCCGCTTGTGCATCGATGGGGCTATCACTTCGAGGTCATTTTCGCGCCTGATAGTAATAAGCTTGCCATGGTGCCGTGGTTTTCCGTACAAAGAATGAAGGAACAAAGAAGAAAACTTGTTTGACGCGCAAGTTTTCAATTTTCCTTTGTTTCCTTCGCCGTGGTGTGCCGTAACGGCTGAAGAGCGCATTCCACCCGTTGTGTGGTAGACGTCGTCTGATTGGTGCCATAATTAAACCTAAGAGACTGCCTGCCAATGAAGATAGAGCAAAGGAGTGAGGCGACGCCGTCGTTCATGATCGCCTCCTTGCCGCGCACTCTTGGGGGAAAAATATCGGTTGACATAGCTCTGGGTGGCGTCTTACTTAACGTCTTCTCTCTCTTTTTCCCTGCAGATGATTGCGTGTGGCGCGCCACGGTCGACTACTTAGGGGATATTGAATCCCAGGCACCGCTCGTCCCCTGGCGTCCTCTCTCCATGGCGTCGCACGGGATGCCCTCCATGTTGCACAGGTATACCTCTTCTTCACCTCTCGTCAGCTGTCCGTGGGCGCACCTTCTGCAGCAGTCTCTCAGAATGTGCGGCCATTTGCTTACAGCTGTTTATTTTTTGTCTTTTTTCCCCTGCCCGGTGGCTTTGTGGCTTAATCGTGCGCGAAATGTAACGCCAGGATACTTAAAAAAAATTCCAATATGTGGAAGTGTTTCCTTATTTGCCCATGACGTGTTGTATGGGGCGTTTTTTCTCACTTCTCTGTTGTCCCGTTTCCATCACTCTGAGCATGTGTTCATGCTCTTCTTTACCTCGCATCCTTTATTATGTGCGCTCAACCGTAATGTCTCGCATTTTTTTTTCTGTTTTCTAGGGAAACTCGAGGTGCTATTTTTCGACTTATTTTCCGTTATTTGCGTTCGCAGACCCGGACAGCGCCGCTGTTGTCGTCGGTGTCATCGACTCAATGCGGCGTGTATGAGATGAAAAATAAACAACTGCATTCAACAAACTATTCCTATGCAGTGGCGCGCGATAGTGTCGGTAATGCCTGACGACTTTTGTTCGGCGTGTTCTTTCCTCTGGGCAGACATATTTTTTCTCTCTTCTTTCTGTGTGTGGGATTTTCGAATGTGACACTTCACGACACGGGTGCTGGTTGCGAGGTGCGGGTTAGTTACGTAATGCATCACCTTGGCAACAGAGTAAGTTTCGACGTGGCCTTTCGTCTATAGACGACGAACCGAGCCCTGCAGGAGGCACGTTTCATCAAGCGATAACGTGAACTGGAAGCGAAGTGCGACTGGTGTCTCTTCTTTTTTAATCTCTCCCGAAGCAGAGGAAGCCGCGACAGAGAACGGGCGAGTTAGTCTCGATCGGTGATCGAAAGCCGGGAATATATGGTGGAGCTCTGGAATCCGAGCGGCGGCCGGGCTGTCCGAGCGAAATCCCGCAGGGTCCAAGAAAGAGATCGAGGAGCTGTCGCGCGGGTCCCTTGTCGTCGTTTCTCGGTGGCGTCGTGCTGACGCGCTCTATCGGATTTCAAAGGGACCCCCCCGTGCAATGCCGCGCGCTTTCGGAGGTGGTCCCTGCAGAAAGCGTTTCTCCGTGTCACTGAAGCCCACCTCCCGCCATTCCGTAGCGAGGGGCCTTACGCAGCAAGCGCGCAAGAACGTTTTTCTCTCGTGTCAAAGCTCAGCTGCCTCGGCGCATTGTTCATGCGCGAGTCATCGACGAAACGAGAAGTTACGGGGGGCTCGATGGGGGCCCCGAAATGCGTTGTGCAGCGGTGCACGAGCCGACTGATGCCTAACCGAGAACCGCAGTTTTCAATTCACCGTAAACTTCTACTCCCGCATGCCAACTTTCTTGTGGTGGCTGGGCGACGTGCGAAGGGTGGGAAGTCGAGCTCCAATTGTTCATTCCAGACCTCGAGCGGTGGGCGAAATCGGGCGCAGAGGGAGCCCATCCAGATCAAGCAGCTAAAAATCAATTCGTTCCGGCAGCGAGCGCGCAAGAAGTTGTCGCACGCATCCGGCTGCCAACGCTGCTAACACCTCAAAAACAGCCTCGGTGTCCGTATTCTCCGGAAATGACGGCGCCTCGTCGGCGGAGTTCCGGCGTAGTCTGACTCTTCTAGACGAGTCAACGCACACTCGGGGAGCGGGGTTGCTCCGAATCCACCAGTGGAAAGCGCGAGAGAGAGTAAAACTTTATTGAAGGGGAAAGGGAGAGGGGCGTTTTAGAGCCTTTATGGTTGGGGCCCTACGTCCAGGGCTCCACTGGCCTTAGCCGCCCGCCGGACTTGATCCAGTAGTGCGAGCTGCACTCCTGGGTCCGAGCTAGCGAGGTGTGCCTCCCACTGCTCCATACTAGGTGTTAAAGGTTCGCCGAGAAAATTGGTTATGTCGCTTGGTTTACGATCGCACCCCCACGATATGTGGTAGAGAGTCGGTCTTCCGCCGCACCACGGACATACAGCCGGGTAAAGAGTTGGATGTATCGCGTGTAACTTCAGTAGGTGCGGAAATACATCCGTTTGAATTTTTCTAAGGTCAGTGGCCTCTTCCCCATTAAGGGATCTGTGAGGTGTTCCACATTTTTGACGCGTGAAGCGCTGGTGAGCTAGAATCTCCCTAGGTAAAATTGGCATGGTCAATGAAAGAGATGGATTCTCCGCTCGGTTACAAAACGCACGAGCTAGAGCGTCCGCCCTTTCATTGCCTTCGAGACCTGCGTGTCCCGGGCACCAGATCAAGCGATGGTGGTGAGTGAGTTTGGATCCTAGCAGCCTCAGCCCCATTGCTGGAAGGCGGCCCCTTAAAAAGAGCCGGCAGGCTTCCTGGGAGTCGGATAAAATAACTGATGGCTCCCCTCTACGCTCCTGAAACCTTAAGGCTAAGGCTATGGCCATCGTCTCCGCCTTTGTAGCCGAGGTCGTGCGTACGGAGGCACTCGTTAGCAGCGTCATGTTGTTGTCGACAACAGTAATTATGTGTCTCTGCCAATCGAAACTGGCCGCATCGACGTACGCGACATTTGAAGCTGAGCCGAATTGCTTTCGAAGCCAGTTTACCCTCGCAGTACGTCGCTCAGCGTGAAAGTCGTGATGCATATTTTTGGGCACCGGTGCGATTGAGATTCGCCTGCGGACCTCTTGGGCTACGTCGACCAGCTCCTCATCAATGTGCTGTGGGTGGGGCGAAATTCCTATTCTAGTGAGTATCGCCCTGCCTGCTGAAGTTTCACTTAGACGATTCCTCTGAGACATGAGGACTGCGGCACTGAGCTCAGCATAAGTGTTATGTATACCGAGAGCTAGGAGCCGCTCGGTCGGTGTGCTGGTGGGTAGACCAAGTGCTGCCTTAAAAGCGCTTCTAATGAGCACATCCACCTGGCTCTCCTCACTTCTGTCGAGTGAGTGGTACGGTAGGCCATACGTCACTCTGCTCAAAACTAAGGCCTGGACAAGCCGGAGAGTATCCTTTCTTTCATGCCTTTTTATGATAAGTGATGCGACGGATCATTCTAGCTATCTGTTTAACCGTAGTCTTTAAGGTGGTTATCGTGTGACTGGCTTTGCCATTGCTTTGGACCCAGAAGCCAAGTATACGGGCCTGAGTAACCTCGGCTATGGCATGGCCGTCTACCTGTAAGTTTATGTCACCGTTACTTTTGTAATACTTACTGTGTATTCTTATGAGTTCAGATTTTTCAGGCGCACAGCTCAGCCCACTTTTTCTTGCGAACTCTGCCACAGCTGTCGCAGCAGCCTGGAGGGTCTGCTCTTTCAGCGCCAGTGAACCCTTCGTAGCCCAGAGTGTGATGTCGTCCGCATACAATGTATATCCAAGGTGCGGGATTGCTTCGAGCTCGTGAGCAAGTCTGCGCATAGCTATGTTAAAGAGCAAGGGGGAGATGACTGCCCCTTGCGGTGTGCCTTTATTTGGCATCGAGAACGGCACCGACCTCGTGTCGCCTATCCCAATAGTTGCCGTCCGCCCAGAGAGGAAGGATTTAATGTAGTTAAATGTACGCTTTCCGCAGCCGATTGTGTTGAGTTCAGAGAGAATGGCCTCGTGCGAAACATTATCAAAGGCCCCTTTGAGGTCGAGGGCCAAGATCAAATGTTCGCCTCCCCTGGGTACGCAACTCATGACCTCTTCTTTTAAAAGGAGGAAGGCATCCTGGGTTGAGAGTCCGGAGCGAAAACCAATCATGGTAGCGGGAAACAGATTTTCTTTTTCAATGTAATTTTGAAGCCGTGTCTGTACTACTCGCTCGTAGAGCTTGCCCATGCACGAAGTAAGCGAAATGGGCCGCAGGGCTCCGAGCGATGGTGCTTTACCGGGCTTTGGTATAGTTATTATTTTGGCTTCCTTCCACTCCGGAGGAACGTGACCTTGGGACCAGCAGTGGTCGTTAAGAAATTGCGTTATCTGCTCAAGAACCTCAGTGCTGAGGTTTCTTATCATAGCGTTTGTTATACCATCCGACCCCGGCGCAGAGTTCCGATTGGCTGCCTGGGCTGCCGCGAAAACCTCTTCTTTCGTGATTGCGGCGTCTAATGTGGCATTCTCGCTGCCGATGTACTCTAATGTACATGGCGGAACCACATCAGTACCGATATAACGGTCTTTAAGCGCCTGGATCAACTCTCCGTCGGTGCCGGGGTAGCTGTGTACTATTCTTTGAAGAATGCGGTTCATGGAGGACTTAGATTTGTCCGGCTCCAGCATGGACCTCAGTATCGCCCACGTCTGGCTAGTCCCTAGTGTACCGCGGAGAGAACCGCAAAACTGCACCCAACCATCGGTGGCAAGTTTCGTTGCGTATTCATTCGCTTCCTCCGACAGAGCAGCGATTCGCCTGTAGAGGCAGCGGTTGAGGCGTTGTTTTTTCCATCTCTTGATCAGGCGTCGCCTACTATCCCACATGTGCAATAGGTGCCGGTCTATCGCAGGCGCCTCAACTGTGCGCGCTATTTTCTTAGAGGTGGCATCATGCGTTTCTCGAATGAAAGCAACCCACCCACTGACATCACAGGGCGTTTGCTCCGGCAGAGGGCGCTTTCGAAAGGTCACCCAGTCTGTCATCACAACGTCACCAGCGACACGACGAACTTTTGGTGATGCTATAGAGGTGCTAAGAATATAATGGTCACTACCAAGGTTTTCATCGAGGTTTGACCACGTGGCATTTTTAATGTTGAAGGTGAAGGTCAAATCAGGGTACGTGTCCCTGCTAATGCTATTACCAAGCCTGGTGGGTGCTGTTGGCAGAGTGATAAGGGTAAAACCTAATTTAGACGTGGTGTTCTCTAATAACACTCCCTTGGGTGAATCCCGGACGTAGCCCCAAGCGGTGCTCGGAGCATTAAAGTCGCCCACCACCACTAATTGATCTCTGGTGCCAACGGCTCGAACTGCCTCGTTTAGGAGTGGGCCGAAGTCGTCTTTCCGGTTTTTGGGAGGACTGTATATGTTTAAAATTTTCGTTCGTACTTTTCCTCGTTTTTGTG